TAATATTCAATATTTAAAACTTAATACTTCCATACATCTCTCTGTATTAGCCTCATTTTGAGGAAAGATTTCAGTCATTCAGGAAATCTACCTTCTTCCATTCACCTAAATTAGTAACTGTCACAGCACCTGCATTTCCTGTGGCACAGCACTTCCTACAGTTACTTTAGTTGCTTCTTTAATTATCTATTTACCCAGATAAACTCCAAGCTTTTACAAGGGCTACAGCCAACTGTCTTGCGTCTCTTGTAACAAAGTGTGGGACACATAGTAGACACTCAATAAGTGGTTTGTTGATTGAATGGATAAGTGAGTCAATGCTCTATCTGTACTCTGTGTATATGTGCGTGTTTATCTCATCAGTAGCTAATTCTTTTTTTTTTAAGATTTTATTTATTTGACAGAGAGAGAGACAGCGAGAGAGGGAACACAAGCAGGGCGAGTGTGAGAGGGAGAAACAGGCTTCCCGCTGAGCAGAAAGCCCGATGTGGGGCTCGATCCTAGGACCCTGGGATCATGACCTGAGCCAAGGCAGACGCTTAATGACTGAGCCACTCAGGTGCCCCTCATCAGTAGCTAATTCTTGATGGTTTTCCTATCTTCCCAGTAGATTTTAAGTTGCTGTAGGGGCAACCATCTAATTTCAGAACATAACCATGAAGTTTTGTGGTACTTAAAAATAAATACAGCTTAGTTCACTGATAAGAAAATCCTAAAAACTCAAGAGATAAATAAGATCAAGGAAATTAAAGAAGAGCTGGTAATGAAACCAGTAGAAAGAGCCAAGTAAATATAAATATAATCCTAGGATAAAAATAGCAGAACTACACTGTATATATTGCAAATATTAACCATCAATAAGAAGCACAATTTACTAATACGATCTCAAATTAAGAATTTATTAATGTGTGGTAGACATTAGTTAATGGGCAGACAAATACTAAAGTAATAAATTGAGTAAAAATTGATTTTTACCATCACTACAACCAAGCGTCTTAAACCCCTGCTGTATCTATACTATATAACCATACTTATATCTACATCTTATCTACATTTAACTCTACTTGATCAATCATCTTGATTATTTTTTGGTCAATCATCTTGAAATTAAATATTTAATGTATGCCTATCTTGTTTATGTTAAATGTTGATGACACGAGAATTAAGAGGTTTTTGCCCATGCTTCTAATTTATCCACAAACTATATAGTTCAACAAACATTTGGGTTTGGGCGTCATTTTTCCAACTCAATAGTTTGTAGTTTTCATTTGCTCTGTTTGGAAATTCCTAAAATATAGCTATGAATTCTTAATGTTCTAATAGTCAAAACTCAGGAACAAATATTTCACTATTAATAATTATAACAGGGCGCCTGGGTGGCTCAGTTGGTTAAGCGACTGCCTTCGGCTCAGGTCATGATCCTGGAGTCCTGGGATCAGTCCCGCATCGGCTTCCTGCTCAGCAGGGAGTCTGCTTCTCCCTCTGACCCTCCCCCTTCTCATGCTCTCTCTCTCTATCTCATTCTCTCTCTCAAATAAATAAATTCTTTAAAAAAATAATTATAACAACAAAAGCTAACCTTTCCTGAGTATTTACTACTTTCAGGCATTATTATCTCATTGAATCTTCACAACAAACCTAGAGTGAGATACTATTATTATTCCTTTTTTACAGAGAAAGACACCAAGGCACAGAGATTAGTTAACTTAAAATGCTCATATAACCAGTAAGAGACAGAGTCTGGATTCAAAACTATGCAGTCTGACTCTAGACTTCATGCTCTTTATTTTTTTTTTTTTTTAAAGTAGGCTCCATGACCAGTGTGGAGCCCAACGCAGGGCCCAAATTCACAACCCTGAGATCAAAACCTGAGCTGAGATCAAGAGTCAGATGCTTAACTGACTGAGCCACCCAGGCGCCCCTAGACTTCATGCTCTTAACCATTATGCTAACATAGTTTCTATTTCTGCTATTAGTTTTACATAAAATGGGTAAATTACCTTCTTAAAATAGGAAAGTGAGAAACAAGACTATTATAGATACACATCATTAGAACTTCAGAGATGTGGCACAATAGCTGGTGCTTAGTTTCTCTGAGAGGTGTCCCTGTCCTCACAGAGCTTATGGAATTAGGGAATCAGAACATACATCCAAAATGTATGATAGTACCCTTGGGATAGGATGGGTACAAATGAGGAGGACATACAGGACTGGCTACAAAAGTTGAGAGGAGGACCTAATTTCTAAGGATTGAGTCAGTATAAAAGGTTTGATGGAAGAGATGGGTCTGAAAAGAGGAATAAAATTGGTAGGTGGAAGCAAAGAGCAAAAGTGGTATAAGCAAGGAGAACTACCTGAGCAAAATTATGGATGAAGTACCAAGAAAGGTCCCATTGTTTAAATGTTTCATGTATGGAGGTAATAAGCGATGAGGCTAGAAAACTAAGGATAATATTTGGGAGGTAAGTGAATGCCAGGTTAAGGAATCAGGATTTTATCCTCTATTTTATTTATTTACTTATTTTTTGAAGTAAGCTTTACACCCAATGTGGGGCTTGAACTCATGACCCTGAGATCAAGAGTCATGTGCCTTACTGATTGAGCCAGCTGGGCACCCCAAGATATTATCCTTTAGACCTGGCCTGTTCAATACAGCAGTCACTAGTTAGATGTGGCTATGGAACACTTCAGATGTGGCAAGTCCGAATTGAGATGAGCTATACAGGTAAAATACACTAAATCTTTAGTATAAAAAAAACAATGTAAAATGCCTCATTAATAATTTCTACATTGATTATATTTTGAAATGATCATACTCTGAATATATTGGGTTAAATAAAATGTATTATTAAAATTCACTTCACCTGTTTCTTTTTACTTCCCTAATGTGGCTACTGGGAAATTTAAAATCATATATGTGGTTTGTATTTCTGGCTTACATATTTCTACTGGGCAATAATGCTCTAGAAAATGAAAAATGAAGACAAATGAGCAGGGATTCATGTAAAAAATGTTTTAAGAAGTTTATTCTGGTATAAATAAATTCAGATTGTAAGACAACTGATCTGGTTTTTCAATAAGCCAATGGCAGGAAAAGAAAAAACAAAATCAAGATAGTAGTGAAGTGGGATTGCTACAGCTTAAAAAATACTAAAGAGACAGAACAATCAAATGCAACGTGTAGACTTTGGATCATGATTCAAGCAAACGAACCATAAAAAGACATTTCTGAGACAACTAAGGAAATAAAGACTAGATACTGTCGATGAGTTATTGATCATTTCAGCAGAATAATGACATTATGGAGATGAAAGAAAAAGTTGCAAACTAAAGTATGCTTTATTGGTGTGAGCTAAAGTATGTCGAGATGAAATGACTGAATGCTTGGCAACTGCTGGGGGAAAAAGGGTGTACCTCTTACTATCGAAACCTAAATAAATACATACATACAGCACACACACACATAAATATGAAAATATGAATTGAGAAAACTGTGGTACTGTGATCAGACTTTTCAGAATCTGGCTAAAAAAAAGGGAATAAAAGAGAAAACACAGTCAAAGTAATGCGCTCTTGCTGTACAAACTGGATGATCTGAGCTTAACTATCTATGAGGAAGGACTAAGCAGTGGAAAAGGGGGTATTTGAGGGCTAAAAAGTTCAAGGGGGTGTCATTCTGTATAGGAGGTATTCAGAACAACACTTAATTCTGTCACACATTTCCTTAGGGCCACACAGAAGGTATGAAGGTATGTTGGAACCAGGACTAAAATCAGATCCTCTGACTTAGCATAATGCTCTTTTGTGCCTAATTTTAAACATGACAAAATTCTCTGGAGAGCCCAATTTATACTTTCTGCTTTAGATTTTCTTTCTTATGTCATTTAGTTATTCTTTATGCCATCATTAAATAATTGACCATATTAAAATATTTTATTTAATGTACTTAGGTTTATCTTGACTGCTTCTCAAACTGAGATTTGGCAGAAGAAAGGTAAAAAAGAAGGAAAGCAAATTTAAGCAGTAATAACAACAGAGCTATCTTAACATCTCCAAGTGAAATTTAAATCATGCTGCCAAAACACAAGATGCAGTTTCACCTCTGGGAACAATGCAAGCAAGAGAGGTCAACGTAAGCCAAGTAGTATAGAGAAGAGATAATAAAAGGGAACAACAGAAGGAAAGGGAGAGGCAAGAAGGAAAAAACTAACAAAAAACCTAACAGTGCCCATTTGCAGAGCCCAGCAACTGCCTCAAAGCAGTGGTTTATTCTTTTTCCGTAAGCTTGGAAAGATTGCCTGGCTTCCCTGGTAATATGCACACTTACTAAGAGTCCTGTTCTGCTGCTATACAATTAGCTATTTGGCCTTGATCCTTGGTTTGCTTCCTCATCTGCCAAATGGGAATATTAACACCTGCCTTACTAGTTTCACTGGATTGAAGTGAAAGTGAAGCAAGTTGGTAAGTATGAAAGGACTTTGAAAAGTTATCGGTTGCTAGGATCATCTATAAGAAATAATTAAGTTGAACATCTTTTCCAGAAAAAACTATTAAAATTGAAAAACAAACCCACCTTCAATCGGTATGTTTTCTCTTAATTTTCGAATGAGAACATTCTAAGGGAAGTGTAAAGACGAGGGAGGAATGAGATCTCCTCATCCTTCACAGGCTCCTACCCCACCGCTCCCCCACCCTCCTCCCCAGCCCAAGAACTGTCACCAACCACCAAAGGATTGGGAGCAGGGTAGGGTGAGCGGAGGAAGCCCGGGGCGAAGAGGGGGGTGGTGCTCGCTGAGGGAGAGGAGAGACGCCACAGTCTCCGACTTGGGGCTAGAGGGAGTTAGAATGAGGCAAAGGACACCTTTTTCCAAAGCTCGGCCACTTACTGCTTGTAACTCCTTGGAAGCGAAGACTGGTTACTATAGCGACCGCGTCCAGGAGGGCGGAGCCCCCCTTGCGTTCGGTGCCTCGGCCACAAGGGCTCGACTAGAAACGTGGTCACGTCAGGGCAATGACTTCCGGCGGAAGGAGAAGCCGGTTCCGGGTTTTGGCCGACTTCAGGCGATGAGTGGGTTATGAGGATTCTAGAAGTTTGGTAAGTTCGATATCGAGTAAGGCCAGGAGAGGGTAGTCGCCTGTGGCTGGGCGGTACAGCCGAAATGAATACAGTGGATTCCTAAGTCTCGATTTTGAGCCCCCCTCCCCCACCCCGCGCCTTGAATTTCACAGCTGTGGGAAGAGGTTGCTTGATTTCTGGGGCTCCTGGCGAGGTCTCTTCGGTAGTCTAGAGGGCTGGAGTATCCTCCTCTGAGCAGTTTCAGGAGCTCTTTCTTTGTAAACGCCGGTAACCGAGGGACTCATGCTGTCTACCTGCCCGAGCTGTTTCCCGTATTATTCTTTTAAGGTAATCTGGAAGAAATGTGAACTGAAAAAAAACACTAAGAGAGAATGCTCCCAAATTCATTTTAATTCTTTGCCGTTTTGTTTTGCATTCAACATTTTTTAAATTCTGTAAACATTTATTAAATTCCTCTATTGTGTTTAGTGAGTATTTACTATGTGCGGCTTTTACCACGAGACAAGCGGAAATACCTTCTTAGAGGGCATCCACAGTTCGCGTTCATTTTCGAATTCTGTTTTCTTAATGCTATTGTAATTCATTAATTTAAGGTACAAGCGTGTATCATGAAATGTGTAACAGAGTTCCCATACTTGTCTGTATACTTATACATGAAATTGTTGGGGCGTTTTCAAAGAAAATATATGCTTCATGAGGTTTGCATTATAATCCTGATTTACTCAACTATTAAAGAACTTAGGAAACTACTTGCTTATTTCTTCGATCCTGCAAACTGTAATGAATTGTCATCAATATTTTTATTCAGCTATCTGAGACGGCCCACTTCTTGTTCAATGGATGATGGCATTTGAGCAGATACCAAAAAAGGATTGGTACAGCATTCTGGGGGCAGACCCATCTGCAAGTGTGTCAGACCTAAAACAAAAGTATCAAAAACTCATATTAATGGTGAGTCTTTTCTTGCAGATTTAAATCATGGGGGAGTAAACAGGTTTTTTTTATGTGGCCTGAGATTTAGGTTTCTATAAAATGAATGGGAATATCAAAGCAGGAATTAGGGTATTAATGTGATTAATTGAAAGTTTCAGTAATATTGTAAAAAAAATTTTTTTTTTTTAATTTGAGGTGGGAAAACATGGTGGTTTGGAGCAGGAGATCTTAGTGGTGCTGGTTGATTTAGAATCCTGATTCTACCACTAACTGTGGGAACTTGGGACAAGTTACTTTCCCCTGTATGTGCCTCAGAGAGAATTAAATGAAATAGTCCAAGTAAAATGCTTAGAAGTATGTCATGTAATAAGCAGTGTTAGTATCCAGTAGCCACTAGCTACATGTATCTATTGAGCACTTGAAATGTGGCTAGTCCAAAATGAAATTTATTATAAATGTAAAATACCTTTGAAGACTTAATATAGGGGCGCCTGGGTGGCTCAGTCGTTAAGCGTCTTCCTTCAGCTCAGGTCATGATCCCAGGGTCCTGGGATCAAGCCCTGCATCGAGCTCTGTGCTCGGCGGGAAGCCTGCTTCTCCCTCTCCCACTCCCCCTGCTTGTGTTCCCTCTCTCGCTGTGTCTCTCTCTCTGTCAAATAAATAAATAAATAAAAATCTTAAAAAAACCAAACAGTATAAAAAGAGAATATAAAATAAGGTAAACTTTATGTTGATTACATCTTGAGGTGATAATATTTTGGGTTTATTGGTTATTTTGCATATTTTGTACATAATATATGCACATATATTTTCATATAGTATAATTATCAAAATGGATTTAATTTGCTTTTTACTTTTTTAACAAAGCGTATGTGGCTTACATTTATAGTTTGTGTTATGTTTTTATTGAATGGTGCCAATTTAAGCCATTTATACACTGTTTTTCATGTGACTCCATTCTTTGGTGAAATGAGTTGTGGTATTTATATAGAATCTTTCTGAACTGTTACTTTAATTTTTTTCAGCCTATATTGTGATGTGTCTTAAATCAGTATCAGTAACTCTATAATGGTTTCCCATTAACCCAGTTTACAAAAGGGGTAGAGGACCATTACTTATACAGCATTAGTTGTTTCTGTAGTTTTTGTCAAATAGATCTGAGATTTTGCCAAAACTGTTAGTGTTTTTTGTGAGAGATGTGGATGTTTTACCATCAGGAATGTATTAATATCCCTTCTTTAGGTAATGGTTGACTAAATGATGTTAAGATTTATTTTATCTCAGAATTTTTAGGATTTCTCTCAGTAAAGTTAAGTAGACTTGATTGAAAATTTTTTCCTACTACTGAATCATACTTGTGCCTCATTTAAACTGAGAGATGAGGCTGGAGAAGTAGACTGGGTCTAGATAATGCAGGCCTTATAGGCCACGTTGACCTTTAATTGGGCAAGGAGAAGCCATTTACATTTAATATGATAGCATCTGTCAAACACCAAAGTGAATCAATCATTTTGCATACCCTTCTGTAACATATCAGAGTTCCATTTGCTCTAAATCTTCACCAACGTTTGATGCTATTTGTCTCTTTCATCTATTGGGAGTTTCTCAGTTTTGCCACCACTGACATTTTGGACAGGATAATTCTTTGTTATGTGGGGCTGTCCTGTGCCTTGTAGGATGTTTAGCAACATTCTGGATGCCCGTAACAACTAAAAATGTCTCCTGGTGGTCAAAATTGTAAACCTCCCCATCCCATTGAGAACCACTGCACAATTCTGTATTTATAGTGATCTCTCAAGTGGTTTTATTTTATATTTCTCTGATTAATGATTTTAAGCACTTTTAAATGTTATTAGTCATTGTATAATTATCTTTTCTGAAGTGTCTTTTTAAAAAAGTACATTCTTGATCTTGTGTATACATTGTGTGTATTTTCTCCTAGGTGTTTTTTGATAAGCAGAAGATTTTTGTTTTGATGAAATACAATTTATCACGTTTGGTTTTTGATTACTGGTTTCTGTGTCTTTAAGAAGGTCATGAAAATACTGTTTTTTTCTATAAACTTATGGTTTGCTTTTACCTTTAGACCTCTGACTCTTGTGTATGGTGTGAGGGGGGAGGTCATGTTTTTTTTTTCCCTCAGTATGGATATCCAACTGTTCACTTACTGCAGATTTTCTTCTCTGCATTATATTGTCAATGTCTTGGCAGTGAGGGTTTATTTCTAGATTCTGTTTTGTTTGGTATATTTGTCTGTCCTTTTACTAATACCTCTGTCTTGTTTACTATAGTTTTATAGTCTGTTTCAAAGTCATGTGAAGTTAAGTTCTCTAATTTTATCCTTCTTTTCAAGTTTATTTTGGTTATTTTAGTTTGCTTGCATGTCCATAAAATTTAGAATCAGCTTCTAAGTTTCCATGTAAGGAAATCCTGCTTGAATTTTAATTGCGACTGTATTGAATATATATCCATTTGTCCGAATGGACATTTAACAATATTGTGTCTTCTAATCCGTGAATATATTATGTCTCTGCATTGCATAAATTATCTTTAATTTCTCTGAGAAATATTTTAGAACTTCCAGTATAGTACTACACTTTGTATTTATTTCTAGTTTTTGGTGTTTTTGGTTCTATTGTAAATAGTATTTTACAATACCGGGGAGGAAGAGAGAGGAGAGAGAGAGAATCTCAAGCAGACTCTCTGCTGAGCATGGAGCCTGTCCTGTTGTGGGGCTTGATCCCACGATCATGAGATCATGACTGAGCCATCCAGGTGCCCCAGAAGTATAGTTTATTTTTATATACTGATCTTGTATCCACAATCTTGCCAAATTTGCTTTCTGGTTGTCTCAAAGCTGTCTTTGTAGATTCCTTCGAATTTTCTATCAACACAGTTATGCCACTTGCAAATAAAGAGAGCTTTGATTCTTTCTATAATCCATATGCCTTATATTTCTTTTTCTTGCCTTAATGCACTAGTTATGTACTTCTATTACAGTGTTCAGTTGAAGTGGTGAGAGGAAGTATACTTGTGTTGTTCCTGATTTTAGGGAGGTAACCTTCAGTATTTTATCATTAAGTATATTATTAGCTCTATGTTTTTTTAGATGCCATTTGTCAGGTTGGGGATATTCTTCCTGTTCCTAGTCTGCTAAGAGTATCTATCATGAGTGAGTATTGAACTTTGTTAGTTGTTTTTTTTTCCATTTATTGAAGTCTGTATTACTAATTTTCCCCCTTTATATGTGCTGAATTATATTGATGTTTCTTATGTTAAACTATTTTGCATTCCTAAGATAAACAAATCTCATTTGTGCATGAAGTATTATGCTTGTATTCTCTGACCCAACATCTCATTTTCCCCACCCAGTATTTCATTTATATTTGATGTAATTATTGACAGTGTTTGGGTTTAAATCTGTAATCTTCTTTTTTACCCCTTTGGATTTGTCCCGCCTGCTTTTTGTTCCTCTGTTTTGCCTTTCTTACCATCTTCTGGGTAAATCAAGTATTCTTTATTATTGTATGTTATTTCCTTTGTTGAATTTTCAGTTATGCTTCTCTATGTGTTTTTTAGTGATTTTTCTAGCGATTGAATGTAATAAGTTGGGGCGCCTGGGTGGCTCAGATGGTTAAGCATCTGCCTTCGGCTCAGGTCATGATCCCGGGGTCCTGGGATCGAGTCCCACATCAGGCTCCCTGCTCCTTGGGAGCCTACTTCTCCCTCTGCTTCTCTCTCTCTCTCTCTCCCCGCCTCTGTCTCTAATGAATAAATTAAAATCTTAAAAAATATATATAATAAGTTGTCACAGTTTACCTTCAAAAAAATGTCATTACTCCACAGTGTAAGAACATTACAACAGCACACTTCATTTACTATCCTCCTTCCCCTTTGTTTTTACTTTCAAAGATAAGATATGCTGTAGGGTGCCTGGGTGGCTCAGTTGGTTGGGCGACTGCCTTTGGCTCAGGTCATGGTCCCGGAATCCTGGGATCGAGTCCCACATCGGGCTTCCGGCTCGGCGGGAAGTCTGCTTCTCCCTCTGACCCTCTCCCTCTCGTGCTGTTTCTTTCTCTCTCAAATAAATGGATAAATAAAATCTTAAAAAAAAAAAAATATGCCGTAAACTCTGGAGTATAATACCATTTTAAATATTTCTACTCAGTATTCTTTTAAAGAGATTTATTGGCATATTTGTATGTATCATATTTATTTTTTATGATGTTTCTATGTGGTATTTTTTCCATCTATGGAATTTTTTGCCTTCATTTTGGAAAGATTTTTTATTTCCACTGGCTGGAGAACTGTAGATTGACAAGAGTTTGTTTTTTTTGTTTGCTTTTCCTTTTAAAAGCTTGTTTTAGATTGTTTCTGATGAGAATTTAGCTATAATTCATATCCTCGTTCCCTCCTTTTTAATGTATCTTTTTATCTCTGGTTACATTCAAGATTTTCTCTTTATCTTTTGGTTTTAGTGGTTTCTCTGTCATGTGCCTAAAATGTGGGAGTTTTTTGTGTTTATCTTTCCTAAGCTTAACTCAGTTTCTTGGATTTGCGGTTGATGCCTTTCTTTTGCTGCTTTTGGAATATTTTCAGCCACTCTGTCTTCACATTTTTTCCTGCTCCATTCTTCCTCTGTTTTCCTTTTGGGATTCTAATTACATATTATATTGTACTACAGTTATTGATGCGCTATTCTATTTTCCCCTAGTCTTTTTTTCTGTTTGTATTTCAGTTTGCATAATTTCACTGAACCTGTCTTCAATTCAGTGTCTCTACTGTGTCCATCTGCTGATAAACTCATTAAAGAAATTCTTAATCTCTGTTATCTAATTTTCATATCTGGCATTTCTCCTGTCTCCTTTTTTTATATAGTTTTCCTGTGTCTTCCGTCTTTTCACACGTATTATGTACCACTTCCACCAGCTCATCTAATATACTTAACTGTAGTTATTTTATTTATTATTTTTTTTAACTGTAGTTATTTTAAAGTCCTTGTCTGGTAAGTCTAACAT